GAAAAAACCTGAAAGAGCAGAGAAATACAATGAAAGGAAAATTAAAGACAGCTACTCAGTCAACAAACTCCTACACAGGTGGAGAAAAAATCTCAACTATATTCTCAAATGCTATCGGTCAGATTTTTGGCAGGAGAGTGATTACACGTGGGCAGAACAGCAGTTTCCATCATCATTATGTGGCCTGCAAACAGATTTTTGCATAACAAAAAAAGACCAGTCTACAGCCTAATGAATGCACTCATTAACTGTAATAGCTTTAGCTATAGATTGAAGGAGGAGGGACTTTAGAGAACAAGAAATCAGCTCAGCTGATTCCAACTGCATTTTCAATTTAGAAAATAAGTGGAACTGTTTACAAAAGGGAGGGTGGGGAATCTATTTTTGTTGTGTACATGTATCTCAGTATTTTGTCTAATCTTAGAAACAGTGGTTTAGAAATATGTGCTGAATATTCCAGGCAGTGTTCACAGGGAATCCAAAGCTTCATTCTCCAGCTCATTGTCACTGACTGTCACTGATCACAGTTTGTCCAGGGCCAATAACTGAAAAGTTACTTTTGGTATAGTGAGTAACTTAATGGACCTAACTAGTTGACATGTCTCTAGCTTTCTATGCTGGTGTAAAAATACAGAGCACTGTGTTAGCTGTAGAGACAACATGAGGACCTGTTGCAGGAACCTCTCTTCCTATTGCAGAGTGTTGGCCAAAGTGACTAAATTAGGGAACACAGAATCTGTCTTCTGTTTTGAAAACACAAAGGATTATCGTAATTATACTGAGAGTGTTATTTGGAGAATATAGCTAAATCCTTTCTTTCACCTCCCCAAAAACAGTGATAAAACAGAATCATTTCCATTTAGAGCAATTTTGAGAAGACTGAGTATTTTAAAAGAAATAAAAACAAGCTTTTCCAGTTCAGAGAAAAAAAGACCTTTTTATTTAAAATGTCTTGATTATGCAAAATTGTTAGCTATCTCTGTTGAGGAGAATTTTACTCCATGTCTTCCACCCTGTGCATGGGGAAGTGTTTTTCCACATGGTTAATTTTGGTGTTTCCAGCCTTGATTCTACTTGGTACAGGTATGTGACCCACTGCACTCTTGCATACTCCAACTTCAGCTGTGTACACAGTCAAAGACACAATTAATCCTAAATCCATTTCTGTTCTTTGTTGGTGCTTCCCACAGCAACTGCAGGGAGAGGAAACATACAATAAGAAGTAAGGTAAAACACCATGAAAAGCTAGGGAATCTGTGAGAGAGGGACATTATTTTAACTCTCTGAATTTTTTTCTCTAATCCACTGGGTTTTACACAATTATCATTCCCAGACATATGTCAAACCTCAGCATAAGCTAGCACAAACAGGGCAGAGTGGATGTCAGGAAGTCAGTGACTTACCGTCCTCCCTTCACCAAGGCAGGGCCATTTGTATCAGGTGGATGTTTGTTTATCTCATCTACTGACAATCCCAGAAGTCTCCAAGATATTCTAGTTCCTCATACTCCTTACTGTGAGGAACACTTTCTTGAAGTCTAAAGTATGTCTTCTTCCAGTCATGAATGCTTACATCAACATGATAAACAAATTATGTTCTTTTTGCAGCAGTTTTTTATGTATGTGAAGACAGTTATAACATCTCTCCCCTAGGACTGTGTGTGGCTCTTTAGGATATAAATCTTCAGCTAATTCAAATAAGCTGTTTTCTATCACTTTCTGATTGATCCTTTACCTCTGTCACTAACCCCTAGGTTTTCTTTTTGTGAAGTTTGATGCTAAAAGTTGTCCTGGGTTTGTCTTCGGTAACTTTCTCCCTGCAGTGAACTACAGGCCAACACTTTCTTTACTCTTCCTCCCGGAATGAAGTGCTTAGAAATTGCTTTCTGTTACTTTTGACATCCCTTGTTTGTTAAAGCTTGTTTTGTGCTCTGACCTTTTTCATTTTATCACTATCTAATGATTTTCTTTCATGCTGATCCTTGAATATGTGACCTTGCTTCTTTTCATATATTTCCATCTTTGAGATAGGCTCACTAATCTGTTACTATATTTCCTCTCCTTCCTCTGCATGGCGCTTTTTAATTAAGTAATTTTTAATTCTTCAGTTCCATTCCTTGAGATTTTCTAGGCTTGGTGGTCTGCTATTTTTCCTTTTTGCTCTTTTAAAAGTCACAAATGATATTTTTCATGGTTGTTCTCACCGAATTTGCTTTTTGTCTTAAACTTCTCAAGCAGTCCTCACCTACTGATTAAACACCTGCAGAAGAGCCTCGTCTCTCTTGTCACTGGGTACAGCCTGAATCCACGTAGTGTCACCTAGACTGTCTGAGAACTTGATAAACAAGCTGCTGTACTCTTTTTCTACCCCCTATTATCAGTAAGTCCTGTGCTTTGGAGAATGATCTGGTAGCAGCTCACAAAAAGCTTTCTTCACATCATCTTCCAGATTCCATGGCATTAAGCAGATACTTGTCACAGGACAGATGATATTCTTGTCACCTGTAAACATGACCAGTAATGAATAGCCCTAATTCTTTCTATGTTCTGCATCTCTGGATGTGTGAATGAAACCCTGATGCCTGAGGCAACACCTCCTTCCTACACCATTTGCCTGCTTTTCCGGAACCCATTAAATCTTTCTAAAAGTATCTATTTATTTAAGTGTGTCTTCTGAGCAATTGTTCTCTCACACTAATCTGACCATGAAATTGAGGTTTTGACATTCTCTTATCTAGTTTAAGCTGGCAATAGTTCTCTGCCTTTGTCTTGTTTACAAGATGTGCAACTCTAATAATTTGCTAGTCTTATAGAAGGTGTCAGTCAGCTTTGCAAATGTCTGTTATCCCTAATAAGCAGATTGAAATCAGTAGCATGCTTCATGCAGTTGAATGCCATGCTACTTACCAAGTAGATGTGGAGCACACTTGGAGCAGTGTCCATCTTGTCTTTTTGAAGACCTTTTGTGGAATTAAATGCTTAGGTCATTAGGCAGGGACTGACTAACTTCACCTTTTTGTAAATGTTTTCCAGGAGGGCTAGCAATTTCTTGACTGCACTGTATAATCCCAAACCAGCCATCACCATTATGCATATTGAATAGTCCTTAACTGCCTTTCCGATGACATCTTTATGATGCTTCAAGCATCAGCTTGCTCCTGTACTGCTCTTCACCTAAATGTTCCCCTCCCTCCATGATGATTCTTTCCTGAAGAAACAAAAATATTTCATTCAGACAGGTGGAGATTTCTTTATAACAGATGCAGTCCTGAATTTCATCTTTCTTCGGTATCAACACTTTATTGTTAGAGATTGCTTTCCCTTCCTCCCACAATCCAAATATTATAAGCGAAGAGGACTGAAGTCAGCAAAACAGTGCCACACATCTGGGAAAGCTCCTGTTGGTGCTGTCTACTTCACAGGAAAGATGGGAAAGGACAAAACACAGAAAATCCAGGAAACCACATTCAAGTTTCTCACATTTTACCATAGCAAACATAATCCTAAAAACTCTGCACCTCTATCTTCTATGTACATACAGTATAACAATACATATGGTCCTACAGTGACAGTCCTACTTTTTCAGGTATGCGCAGCTAGAGGAGTCTGGAGACCTATTCCCTACCACTGGTATCCACGGTTGTGGGAGAGGAAGTGAGCAGGGTGCTCACGATCTGTGGTCACGGCTGTGCAACCCAGTCATTTAAATAGGATCTCATCTGCTTCTACTTTTCTGTTCAGATATTTTAAAATAACTGTACGTGCAGTAATGATCTAAACCATCTCAATAAGAGCTTATATTTATTCATTGCTATATTTATTCATTAATTAATTTTGTAAATATTGATTGCTCTGTCATGGCATTTATTGGCACCTTTCTGTGATATAAAATATGTCATGATTTACTGTGAGTAAACTAAAGAGACCTTTAATAAAGGAGCAGAACTCTTCCCTTCTGTTTGTTGAAGGGTACTATTTTCACTAAAATCTCCATCACCCCAGAAGATCCTTCAAAAAATGGGAGCTGGGGTAATATACACATGCGAACAAGATCTGATAACAAATAAAGATCATTATGGTAATAGTAAAGATCATTATGATAGGCCCCCTCCTATTTCAATTTCATCTCTTGCTAGTACTGCAACAACAAATGTTATTTCTCCTTTTTTCCTTCTTTCCGTGATTCCTTATTTAATTTGGTATGCAAGAATTTTCTTAAATGGTATTTTTTCTAATATCATTTTTGTATACAGTATGGTTGTTATCCTCTATTACCCTATATCACACCACCAGCCTTTAAGGAAACCAGGCATTAGTCTGACTGCAAAGAATATAAACAGGAAAGAACTGGATGAAGGGAAAACATGTCATGATCCTGAAAGACAATTCCCCACTGTGTTGAATGTGAAGGTAATATTGAGGGCAGCCAGATCTGCACATGTCATAGGCCTCTTACCTTGTTGACAGCTTTCTACCCTGGAAAGCTGATGAATGAGATATGTGAATTATTGTGTACACCTGACAGATATCTCAGCAAGGGGCTTTTACTGCTGGTGCTGCAGCTCTGCTTTCTTTCACAATGAGATTTCTTTACGAGCAACTCTATCTTTAAGTCCTGAAAGGATCATTTTAAGGACATATGCCCAGTGGTTAAAAAGCAACACCATTTATTTCTGATAATCAGAATCGCCTCTTCACCTAATCAGAACAAACTTGGAAAGCACAGTGTCCATGCAAGGGAATAAAAACAACCTTGTGCAGTGATCTGTTAAGGATATCCATGTCCCATTCAATATGTTAGGACTCCCTCATAATGATCACTGGAATACTGTTCACCTATATTTATTTTACTACCTGTGAGGAAGCTGTTCTTAATCACTTGTTCTCCTAAATATTCTATATACCCCACTGCTAACTTAAAGAACTGTTTCTCTCACCAGCATGCAGTCTTGCACTGGTGTTAATGGCAACCTATGCATCTTGCCACTTCTCTGTGCGAGAATGGAAATTATACTGGATTTCATTTGGAGATCCTTGTCACAGCCAATTTCTGTTGAACCAGTAGAATTTAACAATGGGTAATACCATTTTGATCTTTCATAATGCAACCACCAATGGAGTACTATGACATTGCCAGCCATTAGGAGAAGAAATAAGGTCTAAGGAGGGACAGGCATGACATTGAAAGTAAGCAGGTATTTCCCTCACTGTTCCCTTCTTTCTCATCTTTACTCCCCTTACTGAGTTCAGGGGATGTCATAGGTCAAATATCCCAAATATATCTATATCATCCTCTCATTGACATCCCATAAGTGTTATTAATCTATTGTGGGTGCAGAATCTAAATACCTCATACTACCAGAACACTTTTTATAATCATGCAAGCCTGTTTTCCTGCTCAACTTTCACTGGCCTTTTGATACTAGTTTAGAATTTGCTTACCTTGTCTCTCTGAAGCTTTTCATCTCTCCATTGTTGTCTCTACAATACACACTTTGAGTACACCTTTTATATAAAGCTCCCAAATGCTATTTGCCCAATAAGCTAAGCTGAAATACTTGTTTGAATGAAAAGCAGCTCTGTTGAATTAAGAAGCCCTGTTGCAGCAAAGTGGAGAAGGGTTATGTAATATGAAGTTGTTATTTCTGTCATTTTTAACAACTTAAATTTATAAAACAGTATCTTCGTTGCAAATCTTTGTGGAGGGGATAACTATTCATTAAGTATTGCTGTAAATTTTACAGCACTGCTGGATTAGATCTACAAAACTGTTCCTCTGAAAAATGATAAAGAAATTAATTATAAGAAAACTTTTTTTTCCTAAGTTGTTTATGCGACAGCTCATAAAGCTGGGATACTGACAGCACAGCTCTTTTTCTCTTAAATTCTATTCAGTTTTAAAAATAAAACACACCACAGACAACCTATCACTTCCTGCATTTATAAAACCTGTCAGATTATATGAGGATGGATAAAACTGCTTGAAAGCTTGCCAGAGATTAAGATGAATGTTTCAAAGAAAAGGTTAAATCGCCCATAAATTTAAAATACCTTCTGCGACTTTTAGCACAAAACAACCCATAAATGGTTCTAACTCTTTGTCCAGTAAATGGTGCTGGTGGAAAGCGGGGAGCATTTGACTGTACTGAGCCTCCTGAGCGCGTTTGGGAATATTAACATCTGTGGTCAACCCTAATTGGATCTAAGCTTGAAGGTAAATTTTCAGCTGTATTCAAGCTGAACATCAGTGTTCATCTTTCTCCTTTCATGAATGTGTATTTTACTCTCTTACGCTGAGTAAATGAGTGCATTTGAAATCTGAAGCATGTTCAACAGTCTCTTCATTTTCATTCCAGACACTGGATATTATTTTTGCCTCTGGTGAAGCTAATATTTATTGACATTGCAGCTGTGCTAATAAGATGTAGTTGAGTCCAGGCTTCAATGAAAATAGTGTCTTGTGCAGAAGGAGTCACTGTCTGAGGTCTTGACTTCTGAACTGTGCGAGGACAGCTGAGTGCAGAGAACACAGGAATATGCTGGCAACCAAGTGACTGCAGCAAGCTTCCTCCGTGTTCTGCAGTACAGAAGCAAAGTTTAGGTTAGGCAGCAAATTATCAAAATAGAGCAACAGAACTGCATAGATAAAGGTCACTTACATCAGTTACACTAAGTTGAAACAGGGCTTCCTTTAAACAACTCATGAAGTTTTAAAATAAGAAAAATTAAGCTTATTTTTAATCCTTCAGCTATTTGATTTTTAGGATTTAAAGGTGATCTCTATAGTCATTAACATCATTGCATTATTAGAGGGAGAGTAAAAAATAGGGAGATTCTTCTTAGAGAAGAATCTGAGATTTTTCTGATTCTCTCACCATAAGACTCGGGACTTTCGAAAAACTGAAGAAAAACACTGTCCTGGGTTCAGCTGTAGCAGTCACTTTTTTCCTTCTTAGTATCTGGTGCAGGGCTGTGTTTTCGACTTTAGACTGGGAACAACACTGATAACACCGATGTTTTTAGTTGTTGCTCAGTAATGTTTACTCTGACCAAGGACTTTCTCGGTCTCATGCTCTACCAGGGAGGAGGGGAAGCCGGGAGGAAGCAGAGACAGGACACCTGACCCAAACTGGCCAAAGGGGTATTCCATACCACAGCACGTCATGCCCAGGATAGAAACTGGGGGGAGTTACCCGGAAGGCCCAGATCGCTGCTCGGGTTGGGCTGGGTATCAGTCGGTGGGTGGTGAGTGGTTGTCCTCTCTCCCCTTCTTATTCCTCTTATCATTATTATTGGTAGCAGCAGTGGTTTGTATTATGCCTTAGTGACGGAAATGCTCGTATCGCAACCCGTGGGAGTCACATTCCTCTGATTCTCCTCCCCATCCCTCCAGGAGCGGGGGAAGGAAGAAGTGGGGGAGTGAGCGAGTGGCTGCGTGGTTCCAAGTTACCGGCTGGGCTTGAACACAAGTTCATGATAAAACAGCAGAAATCATCAAAGTTCTAATGAGATATGTACATTTGTAATGGAGTTGAGTGAAACGTTATAAGTGCCAGTACTTCCAAAAACCTCCATTGTGAAACTGGGCAGAGCAGAATTACACCGAGAAATTTGTGACATTTTGTTTGATTTGGGTTTTCAGTCACTTCTGGCTACTTGTGGTCAGAGTGTTGCAAGCAGAAAAGGTTAACAGAAGGGGATTAGAATTCTGTGTGCGGTACAAGATCATAAAACTCTGTAATACTCCAGCTGTGAACAACCAAGAAATGCATGGATGCTTTATCCAGCTTCATTAGTCATGTTGGCAGAGAGGATTTCTTGCTTCAGATGCAATGTCTTACTGCCTAGCATCTGAGCTCTGAGCTGATATTTCTACTTGAGCAGCATTAGTCCATTCAGAATTTTCTCTTGGTTCTTTGTGCCATGCTCCATGAGCATGCTCAATAAGCATGGTCTGCAACACAGTCCTGCCCTTCACACTGTAACATCTCCTGTTCTCAAGGTCACCTCCTTTTAGGTGATAGTATCAACCCAGTATCAGTAAAACACTGAATCCAAGACTTTCTCCTCAGAGCTCGGTGAGGATTAGTGTGATGCAGAGATGCGCTTATAGATGGAGGATTTCAGGATCTGTGATTTTTAATGATTTGGAGGTCCTGGGGCAAGGGTTAGGCTGCATGATATTAAAGGGCTTTTCCAACCTTGTTGATTCTATGATTCTATGAAGAATATGTCATTTAAGTAGAAGGTGCCAATGACAAGCAAACATAAGTAAAAGAGAAACATTGAATTCCTCTACTAGAAGTACTACAGGTGCTTTACTAAACTCCACGCAGAATCACAGGTGTGCGCGGGTGCTTTTAGGCTCCAGATTTTGTTTTTAAGAAAGTTTTTTTCTTATTCTTTTGAATGATTAATGTTATCCCTCTTCCATTTATCCCTGCAGTGATGGCTGGGCAGACAGGTACGACGTGACAGACGGGTACCAGCGTGAAGCTGTTGGTGGAATAACAATCAAGCTCCAGTCTCCTGATGTAAAATGGTTTGATGATTACTACCTACAGCTTCGTCCAGAAACGAATCACCGAAATCCATGGTTTCAGGAATTTTGGCAGCACAGGTTCCAGTGCCGACTGGAAGGGTTTCCTCAAGAGAACCCTAAATACAACAAGACTTGCACAAGTAAGTGAATTTATTACTCCTGCTGTATAAACCGGTGTGACTAAAAGTCTGGTGTAAACAGCTCATGCTGGACTGATGCAGCCTGGTCTGGTAGAATAGTGAATGGGGTTGGAAGTAGAGAGGCTGGAATTGCAATCCTTGTTCTTTCCAAAATGGTGACTATCACAATTTCAAAAGTATTCAGATTTCTAAGGAGACAGATACTGCCTCAGTATGTAACTCCTCTTATTTGGAAAACTTGATCCTACTCTACCTCTATGGGCATCTAAACACTTTCAATAATCTTGTCATACAAAATTCAGTGCTTTTCTGAAAAAGGAGTAACGATATTGCTTTAGCTTACAGGAGCAATGAGAGAGTTAATAAACTAAAAGTTGCGTGAAGTCCATATGGTAGCGATGATTAATTGTGTACCCCCGATAGAAGACTAGCTGATTTGAAAGATTTTGTCAGATTTTCTTTCAGCCATGAGTCATTTCAGGAAATGCTGTTTTAAGCTGATCTTTTTCATTAAATCATACTGATTTTAGCAAAAACTGCGACAACATTTTGGCATTTTTGCAAAACGGTGTCAAAACCTTTTTTCCCCAGAAGGATGTGATGTCTTTTTCTGGGTTTTTTTGTTTGTTTGTTTGTTTGGGTGGGTGGTTTGGGGTTTTTATTTCTTTTGTTGGAGGGTGTTGTTGTTTTGTTGTTGATGGTAGTGGTTTGGTTTTCAATTACTTCTGTTAATAACTCTTTATTTCACAAGATGCCAAGCAGTACTAAGGCAATGGGCATCCTGTTGGTCCTGAGGCACAAGGTGGTGCCATGCTGGGCATTAGCCCATCCACAGCTCTAAGCCCCAAGGGACCTTCCCTCCTAAAAATATCAATATATTCCACACACCCAAGAGACCAAGAAATGGCTTTAAGGACAAAAGTTGTGGATTTACACAACACAAAACCCCACCTAAGCCCCACTTAAAGCTCATAAGTCTTTCTTTTGATTCAGACAAGGTCGCAGAGGAAGTCTGTGTCTGAGATAGATAGAAATTGAATCTAGGAATCCCAAAATCTCTATGTACATCTTCAACATTCAGCTGACTTTCCTCCATTGTTTTTCTTCTACTACTCTTCCAGCACAACCTGACACATGTTTTATTTGCACTATTGACAGATACTGCATATTGAGCAGTAAACTTCATTGATTTCCCCACAAATAATGTAGACATCTTTTCTGAGATGTCAGTACAATGGGCACGGCTGGATACAGGCTAATGAAGACCTGTTTTCTACCACTGTGCTGTATTAGCAACAACTTTTCTGGGTTTCTTTTTTTACTTCCTTTTTGACAACACTGGGAGAATCTAACTTCTGTTTTACATGAAAAGTTGGTAACTGTGAAACATAGATACCTAAGAGTCATAGTCTTAGTCTACAGTGCCTAAAATACAATTCACTAACACAAAAACATTATCTCTGGGTGCAGAGAGATCCTATTTTAGACGTGAAGTCAACCAGTCATGGATATGAGACAACTTAATCATAAAGCTTGAATAGCTTGGTTTGAACAGCACTCATCACTGGAAGGTTTCCCACAAAGAGATCCTGAATGTGCCTCAGCTCAAATAGGTTCCTAAAACCTCTGAATGTCAAACACACAATATACAGATTGTCCTAATTACTTTTCCTGCACCTTTATTGTCGTATTCAGTGCTAGGCAATGTCGGTTATAGTAAAAGAGTGAAAACCAGATTATAATAGCTTTAATATATATATATGTATATTATAGCTTCTTGTTGCTGTAGGGTGGAAAATGTTAAGTCAGTTGTGAATTTCCCCAGATTAACAACACTACGCACAACAATCAATTAAAACTGTCCATTTGATCAGGGTTTTCACACAGGAAGTTGTTAGTCATCATGTTACTCAGTCTTATAGTTCTGATTTTGATCTAGACCATCTGTCAAAATTTATGTAAAGAAAATTCAAAGGTTGGCCAAAAAGAAGACATACAGATTTACTTCATCACAACTTTGTGTGTCATAACTGCTAAGACACCTGTGCTGTTTTTCTCATAATATTCCCAAACTAGACAAGGGTGTACAATAAAGTGAAAAAAATACTGAAGTTAGACAACTTTGTACACTTACCAGCAGCAAAACCACAGATGTATTCTCTGAGAATTGCAGGAGTGAGAGATTCTGATGTTGGGAGTTTAACTTCAAAATTAACATGAATTTTTGAGACTGTCATCATAGTTTTTGCTTCTACCTAATTTCTTATCTTCCATATGACTTTGAAAATCATGTCTTTATATTTATTCCAACATTCATATTTGAAATTTTGAATATTCAATTCCCTCAGTTCAGACTTCATAACTGTAAAGATGATACTTGCCCTCAGCAGTCACAAACATAGATTGTCCTGGCAGTTTCTGCCTGATGATGAATATATTAGTGCTACTTCAAATTGATTTTGATAAGAAAGCAGGACTGTGCCCTTTAGTTTATCAGTTTATCTCAGTGAATACATTCTCTTATCCAGAAGCTGAATGCATTAAGAAAAGAAAAAAAGATGCTAAAAGTGTTTCTCAGGATTCCAATTAGAGAGATTGAGTTTATAGAGAAATGCTGGAGAGAAATAAAAATCTATTTTTGTGCCAAAAGGCAAGCCATTCTTTACTTCTCGGGATAATGATGAAAAGATGAACATAAAGCTGATTGGTGTTGACAGATGAGGTCAATATTAAATGAAGGTGTCTATCCAGAAGCAATAACCATTACTTTAGTGGAAAAAAATGAATTATTCTCCACAACCTGGTTGCGCTATCATTAAAAAAATAATAAAGAATGGTTAACAGTATAAACAACCTATGCAAACAGCAAGAAAATACATTTACCTTTGTGACAGAAAATACATGCAATCACAAGTTAATGAAGACAACTCCAGTGAATAGGTTTTTTAATTAATTAAATTAGGGTTTATTAATTTATTTTCTTTATTTTGGGCTTGGTTTTGGATTCTTTTTATTTGGCTGATTTCACAATAATCAAATTAATTTTTTTTATGTAAGCTATCCATAGACAGTGCCAAGCAGATATTATGAAATGATAACCCAAAATAATTCTTTTTCCATTCATTTCTATCAAGCACTAAATAGTCTCCCTCCCTTCGCATACACTTGGTTCACACTGAGATGAAAATTTTAACATCGAGCCCACTTTTCATTTGCAAATCTGAACACACTTTTCATCCAAAAGGGTGTCAGGGCTGTTGCTAAGTACATTGGTTTTCTGCCCAGCTGGAGCACTACAGAAAGTGAGAAGTTTGCAGACTTACCTGACTTGATTTTCAGTGTAATCAGTTCCATGCCACAGGAGAGCTGCTACAAACCACCTCTAAACACCAAGAGTCAGACCAAAGAGTTTAAAATGCATCTTTAAATGGAGACATGTAGTGGCCTCTGAACACTAAGGATTGTACAGGAATTGGATTTTGCTTCTCCTCCATCATTAATCAGATATTTTTTTTATCTAAGGCTACAATTCAGTAAAGTTCATAAATAAGTGTGCAAGTTGATCCAGATGAGTAACTCCACTCAACGACCATCTTCAGGTCATAAAAGGCTAATCCAGTCCTTTAGTATTGATTGCCTTTGGACCTTTGAAGACTAGGTGTTTATGCGCTTACTTTCTTATAGACGAGTGTCCCCACCAGAACTCAAATTCCTAGTGCTTTTGCCTCCTGTTTTATAAGTGTATCTTAGAGCAGAAACAAAACCCAGTGTAAGCAGAGTATGTTGTGAAAATGGCTTAACTGACAATAGCAAAAAAAGTCAAGTCTTCAAAGTCACCAGGAACAGAAGCATATCTATTACATTTAGCAGTCTGTTAAATGAATCCATTTGCCTCTGCTGCTAAGAGACCTTATTTTTCCCATGCTGTGGAAAAGCCAGAGGCACAGATGGAACAGCATTTTTTGAAGCATTACTTAAACACAGAGCAAAAGCAGAATACTAATCCCAAGTATTTGTGATCTAAGTGTAGGACAAGATAGAGCAAATAGAGACCAGTGCTGATGTAACACTGTAACACCTTAGTTTGGCTGGCAGAGGTTACAGACAAAATGAGGTTACAGAAAAAAAAAATGGTAGCTTCATCTAAAGGCACAATAAAAACAAGAATCTGAAGGAAGGTGATGGGGCACTTCTGCAGGCATTTATGGCAGGGTCCTGACAGTACTGTGGTTCAAAGCAGAGGTGCAGAAAGCACAAAGGGAAATGATGGAGGCTGGATAATCACAAAGATCAACCACAGAGAAGACACACAGGGCACTGTAAGTGAGGAAAGAAACTTATGTCACAGAACACTTCCAGGGATGGGGCAGCCACAGATTCTCTGGGCAACCTGTTCCAGTGTTTCAGCACCCTCACAGAAAAGAATTTCTTCCTTATATCTAATCTAAATCTACCCTCTTCTAGTTTAAAGCCATTCCCCTTCGTCACTACATGCCCTTGTAAAAAGTCCCTCTCTGGCTTTCTTATACACTCCCTTTTGGCACTAGAATCTGCTCTAAGTTCTCCATGGAGCCTTCCCTTCTCCAGGCTGAACAGCCCCAACTTTCTCAGCCTGTCTTCATATGGGAGGTGCTCCAGCCCCTGATCATCTTTATGGCGTCCTCTGGACTTGCTCCAACAGCTCCATGTCCTCTTATGATTAGGACACAAGAACTGCACACAGCACTCCAAGTGGGGACTCACAAGAGCAGAGGGGCAGGATCACCTCCTTCGACCTGCTGGTCATGCTCTTGGTGATGCATCCTAGGACAGGGTTAGTTTCTGACCTTCAAGTACACATTGCTGGGTCATGTTGAGCTTCTTGTCAAGAAATTGAGCTTCTTGTCAATCCTTCTCCTCTGGGCTCCTCTCAATTCATTCTCCATCCAGCCTGTATTTGTGCTTGGGATTGTCCTGACCCAAGTGCAGGACCTTTCCCTTGGACTTACGTCATAAGGTTT